TTGGAAATCTGATCATTTACTAGAAGGGAAAGATTATAGAACATAGCACTTACAGTTATATGTCCCACTCCACAGTGCTTTTACAGCCCTCTGTAAGTGGCTTACAGAATCAGCACATTGCCCCCAACAATCTGGTCCTAATTTTACTGACCTTGGAAGGATGGAAGGCTGAGTCAACCTTGAGCCAGTGAGAATTGAACTGCTGGCAGTTGGCAGACTTAGCCTGGAATACTGCATTCTAACTACTGTGCCACCATGGCTCTTATGTGTCTATCTGGATGGATGGACTGCTTTGCACATTCCAATTATTTTGTTCCTCTGTACCCGCCACTGGTAGGGTTAGAGTAGACAGTTTAAAAAGTTGGACCTCTGATGGCTAACTGTCTATGAAGTAGAGTTGGAGAAGTGTCTTTAATTAGTCAGAAGAAGTCAGAGAATCATCATCATATCTTGAATCAAAAATCAACTCTTTTTCACACAAGACACAAAATTTCCTTTTATATTTTTAACAGAGGCTTATTAGAAGGCATAAGAACATACCAAATTATAATGTTTTTTATCCAATATTTTAAAGTATGCTCTTCTTTCATCCAGTTATTCAGCATGCATGTATATTCACATGGATGGAATTTATATTTTAACAGAGGCTTATTAGAAGACATAAGAACATACCAAATTATAATGTTTTTTATCCAATGTTTTAAAGTATGCTCTTCTTTCATCCAGCTATTCAGCATGCATATATATTCACATGGATGGAATTTATATTTTTAACAGAGACTTATTAGAAGACATAAGAACATACCAAATTATAATGTTTTTTATCCAATATTTTAAAGTATGCTCTTCTTTCATCCAGCTATTCAGCATGCATATATATTCACATGGATGGAATTTATATTTTTAACAGGGGCTTATTGGAAGACATAAGAACATACCAAATTATAGTGTTTTTTTATCCAATATTTTTAAGTATGCTCTTCTTTCATCCAGCTATTCAGCATGCATATATATTCACATGGATGGAATTTAAAATTATCCAAAGGCTTCACAATCTTTGCGGGTTCATACTAATATTTTTTATTGAAATTCCCAGCCTCAGAAATTAAAGCTTTGTAAGCCAGATGCTCTCATCTTTTATTCTTTCTTGCTGATAATCAGCATTCTTCGGTCACTTCTATCATCCCTTTTCAAAAAGGATATGCTTACACATCCAATACTCAACCCTTCATTTCTCATGTTGAAGAATGACTATGTGCCAGTGCTGCGCCAGAAACTTGTTGGTAGCAGTGAATAGTGTCAGGAGACAATATGTTCCCAAAAATCTTTTCAGTGACATAACTCTCATTTTTATTAGTCATTGCATAGCAATAATGTTCTCTGATGATAGAGACAATCAACAAATAGAATTGAATTTTTGAAGAAAAAAACAAACCGGAATGGACAAATAAACAACTAAAAAGCATGTCAACAACAAATCAATTGGGCTACAATAGCAATAAGAAATAATAGAAATGCTAGCACAGTAATAAAAACTAATGACTTTTTCATCCAATTCATCTCTTTATAAGCTGCCATAAAGCAGTGGTTTATCAAGTGGGTATTGCACAAAATGTTGACAAAGTGAAGAAGCAGAATTCAGTAAAAATAGATTGTAGCCACAATAAAGTGAAGAACACCATAAAACAAAAAGAGAAGAGCAGACCATTGTAGACAGTAGAACGAGCATTAGCTATAGTACTTTATTCTACCCTTCAGAAGGCAACTCACAGTGTGTTTATAATGAAGGAAGTTCCACTGGAATAGGGGTTAAGGTGAATGTAAAGGCTTTCCCTGTACTCTCATGTCCAACACTACAGGGTGGTGCTCATCTCCATTTCCAAGCTGAGGGAGCTAGTATTGTCTGAAGATGTTTCTGGGGTCATGTGGCCAGCATGATTCTACATCAAGGCATACGGAATACAGTTAACTTCCCACCAAAGTAGTACCTATTTATCTACAAGCATTTGCATGCCCTTGAATTGCTATGGCCTTATAATAATAATAGTAGTAGTAGTAAAGTTGGAAGGGACCTTGGAGGTCATTTAGTCCAACCCCCTGCTCAGGCAGGAAACCCTACACCATTTCGGACAAATGGCTGTCCAGTCTCTTCTTAAAAACTTCCAGTGTTGGAGCATTACTGCTTCTGGAGGCAGGCTGTTCCACTGATTAATTGTTCTCACTATCAGGAAGTTTCTCCTTAGTTCTAGGTTGCTTCTCTCCTTGATTACATCCATGTCTGTCTGCGTTAGATAAGTATATCAGTGGTGTAGCCCTGAAGTGAGATTTTTCAGTTTACCACATAGCCTTTGCTGTGCAGGTTTAGCTGAAACATAATCCCAATTAAATTAAATTGAGGTTGGCAACTGGGCCCCCAACTTCTTATTTCTCCCTAATATTCTTTGCTCTGGTGAAAATCAGGGCTATGATTTCTTTCTAAGTTGGCAGGCTATACAAAAAAATAATTGCATAAACCATGGAATAGGTTTGACTTCTTCAACAAGCAAGGAAAAACTACCCCTTCCACCAAGTTCCTTTTTTTAAGGATGAGAAGGAAGAATATCCTGGGTGCATTTAGCATCTTTATCTGCCTACTCTGGCCTATCACCAAGGGTTGCCTACCCCACACAAAACATAGAAGAAGCCCTACTGCTAAGCATTGTATGACTTCTTATACTTTTTTGATGGCTCCTCTATACCTCTTTCCATTTTTCCCTGTCATTTGAGCCATTTTGACCAGGTCAACCAGTAGAAACATGAAAGACTTTGCAGATGAGATTTCCAGAAAGGATGTATGTTCTGGGAATAATATGAGGGAGATACATATGAATCATATGATTGATTTCTGTGAGAGCCCAGCTTATCTGTGACTTTTTTTTGTTGTTGTGTCGCGCACATTTCCCTCTTAGTCATTCACCCCTTTTTCATTAACTTTGCTAAGCATTGAAATACAAGGGGGGGGGAATAACCAATTAAAAACAATCCTGTATTTGTCAGGGCATGGATATGCAACATCTGTGGAAGCTGTCCCTACTTACTATGCTTCATTTAAAAATGAGCATTTTATTGTCATTAGAGCAGAATTATTCGCTTGTTCGAGAAAAGCCTGTCAGAGAGGCTCCTTCCCTGCTACCTGGACCTCATTGCACACCTTGATTTTTCCTTCTAGCTGCAAATTGGAGCAGCACGCACCTGTCTGCCTGGAACCCAATCATCTTTCTTCAAGATGATAAAAGCCTGCTGGTCAAGAGTCGGCATGCTTCTCTTCTTGAAAATTAGACTCTCCCTTTGATGCTATATCCTTCCCCTCCAAACTAACTGAAATAGAGAGCTAGCAAGCGGAACCTGCTATCAAAGTAAACATCCCTCCGTCCTCTCTTCCATTTGCTGCCTTAGCTTTGGAAAGAAGGGGGGGGGAGAGAAAGAGATAGAAAGCTTCCATAAACTAATCTCTGCTTTTTAATGAAGTTTACACATTTTGAGGCAAATTATGAGTTGCTTTCATTTAAAATGCTTGACCCGTTAATGCAGAGGTCTTCAAACTTGGCCCTTTTATGACCTACGGACTTCAACTTCCAGAATTCCTTAGCCAGGCATGCTGGCTGAGGAATTCTGGGAGTTGAAGTCCACAACTCATAAAAGGGCCAAGTTTGAAGCCCCCTGCGTTAATGGAAGGTGGATGCTCTAAGGAGAAGCAGAGCAGACCTCAAATTACATCAAGGCTTGAATAATTACACCATTCCACAAGCTGTTAATGCAAAGACAAACAATGGCTTTCTGGGTGGGAAGTCTGGGTGTCTGTGTGGTAGACATTTTTAATGATAGGTAGGAATGACCGTGGTAAATGAGGAAGAGCCACTGCCAGGGGATCTGTCACTGAAGAGGCAGCTTAGCCCACAAAAGTAATGGGCAAATATCGCAGAAAGGACTCTGTCTCTAGTTTCTTAGGCTGTAAAAGCAAGGGGGGGGGGTTAGAAATGTATTTTCAGATTTTCAAGTGAGAAGTCCTTGGTACTCTCTGAGCTTGTTTGTTTTCTTGCAGACATTTCATTACCCAAACTAGGTAACGTCATCAGTGCTAGATTAGAGAGCACCAAGGACCCTTCCTGTCAACCCTGAGCTGCAAATATTCTCCTTTATTAGACTTTCAGCTTTGTGGTAATGTAACTTTACAATAAAATCGAATTAGTTCATCTGGTTGTGTTTCCTGTCCAGGCTACCTCACTAGGCTGAAATCAATATTGCAAGTCACCCCTGTTACTTTTACAGCCTAAGAGACTAAGGAGGGTCCCTTCTGAGACTTTTGCCACATCCACTTTCTTTCAATAAGCTGCCTCTTATCTGATTGCCCCCGTCTCCCAAAGTCACTCTCACAAACCCTTAATACATATCTGGGCCAAGAAGGAATTTCCTTCTGAGATCCAAAGACAAGAAAGCAACTTAAAAAAGTCTAGTCCCACCTCAAAAGTCACTTGTGAAGGTGGCAAATTGTAAGCTGCCTTTGGCTGAACAGATTTAATCAGCCTTTCTCAGCCAAATATTCAATTGTGTTGGCATGCCTGGCTGAGGAATTCTGGGAGTTGAAGTCCACAAGTCATAAAAGGGCCAAGTTTGAAGACCCCTGTCCTAGCATGTCTGTGGATTGCCAGTTTGAAGGCTAAATTAAACTGATTGTCTCCAAATTTTGTTTGATTAGTTTAGTTTGAATTGTAAATTCTCAATCAACCCTAACAACATCTATAAGTGAATTTGATCTGACAAACATGGCTTCTGCCTTGTTTATGGGTAGTCCTGCAAATAAGTAAAATTATAATTTTCATCTTAAAAAAATCAAATATGTTGGAAAAGTAATTTATGAGGAACTATTTTAATGCATTGTGTTTAACTTTGCAAATGTATAAGCTAGTTCCCGCTGAGCAGCTCATGAAATCTCAATATCTCTTTCCCCCTCTCTCTTAAAGCACACAGGTTCAGCAGCATGCAACCAAACCTACTTTGATATTAAAGTTAGAAATGCCCAAGCATGGCAGACATTGAAGAACTACTGGCATTATGGATGCGGCAAAGCCATGGCATGACATCCGAAATTTAAACAGAAGCAACTTGAGGTTAGGTAAGTTACATAGCTTTTTGTTTTTTGTTTTTTAATAGAAGCCTCGGTCGAATTTGAGCATGATCAAGTCTATCAATCATGTGGTCTCTTCTCTGTGGCTCGCCAGCTGTCCATGGCAGGAGGTCCACAACACACACCGCAGATGTCACCTCAACACAGGGAGGATGAAGCTTAATAACCCATTGAAAGAGCAATAGCCATAGTTCCACTCTCTCTTTCCAAGTATTTAAATATAAATATCAAGGGGAATTCTTGATATTTTGAAAATAATGTGCATGTGTGCATGTATGTATGTATGTATGTATGTATGTATGTATGTATATGCAATATTAATATGGCTGCTGATCCCAAGGAAACAATTCTGGGTGGCTCACAACAACACTAAATACAGCAAACAATACAAACGAAAACTTGGTGTTTAAAATTTTGAAAGTTTAAAATTTTGAAATTCTAGAAGTTTCAAGCCAGCACATCTGTAGGATGACAGATTCTAATAAGTCACTGAAAAAAAAAACCTTTTTTGCTTTTCTGTCAACACTTCCTCCTCATAAGAGTTAAAAGAAACTATGGACCGAATTCTTAAATTAGGGCACTTCATAATGGTAAAAAAAAAAAAGTTAGCGTGTTACAGAGAATTCAACTCTGCAATTATTTATCTGAACCGTACATTCAGAGATGTCACTGCTTAGTTTTTCTTATCCTACACCATCTTATTATATGATATTTTTTATGCAGCTGTTAATTAATTTTAAAGGTTTTAAAAACAAGGGATAAGCATGGAAAAAAGTGCTCCTGTGTTAATTATATTTAGGCTAGGTTGAGGTTGAAGAATTTGAAGTGAGCGAGAGAAGGTAGTAGTTTTGCGATGGGCATTTTCTATGGATTTACGTGGAAATTACCCTCTTATAAGAGTATGTAAAATTCTTTGTAAGTGCTTGCAGAGAGTAGAAATCTTTGAATTGATGTGATGAAAAAAGAAACATTTCTATTATTCCCTTGATTCTGGCATCATAAATGAAATAAATAAATATTGCAGAAGGCTGTTGTCGTCTCAGTGAGAGACAAAGGCCTGCTGTTATCAGAAAGGCTTTATGGCCTTATGTGTAATTTTCATACAGTGTCTTTTTATTTATTCGATTCAGTTTAAGCACTGCCTGACTCCAACGAACTCTGGGCACCTGTACTAGAAAAACCTTATTTTGCTGAAAAAGCAACAACCTTTCTCTATTCTTAAAACATAGAATAATAGGGTTGGAGGGCACCCTGGAGGTCTTCTAGTCCAACCCCCTGTTCAAGCAAGAAGATCCTATTTTATTGGAGACAAATGGCTGTCCAGTCTCTTCTTGAAAACCTCCAGTGAGGGAGTACCTTCTCTGCATCTGATATAAACACAATGCTGAGTCTAAGGCTAGCAGACCCTCTGCTGAGTAAAAGTTGCATGGCAACTTTAAGTTTTGTATTAAGGGGCCTGATAAAAATTTGACTGTACTAAAAGAGGCAGACAAGTGGATTTTTCTTTCTACTTCACTAGGGACTAAGATCTCAGATCTATAGGTCTGGCACTTCGCATTTTATCTTTTCACCTTCTACTCAGAATTCTGAATCGGGGAATCTATTAGCAAGCTGTAGAATACAAATCTAGCAAACTTAGCTAAATTATTAGAGGTAGCTTTCCACAAACTCCTTGGAATAGCAATTGGTCCTATCATGTATGGCATGACATTATTTATTTTTTTCCAGGAATACATCAAGAACAAAAAAAAAGTTAATATAGGATGGTGAATTGAACAATAATAAGTTTATAATTTTTCGATAGTAACTGTATAGAGAAGCTGTGGAAAACAGAGGCAGGATCTTGGATTTGATGTATTACTTTAAAGATATAGTGCCCAAAAGACAATGTAATCCTATTAGATATATCTGAAAAAAGAAGATTTTTTTAGCTCTTTTACTTCAGAGCCTTTCAGACAAATCAAATGTAAAAAAGCTAAAAAAAAAAAACAACCCTCCAAAGCTGGCTCTTTGACAACTAAACACAACCGTGCCTCAGATTGTTTAGGTAATCTCCAAAAATGTTAATCCAATAATCTCCAAAAGAGATTCTCCATATGTACAGCTGCAGCAAATATATCTGCATGTACTGGTTGGAATTAGCATTAACAAAAACTTTTATAGAATGGATTAAGGAAAAAGAATCTTAAATTATTTCAAAATTAGGACAAGAGAGGAAGATTTATATAAGAAAATGAAAAATAAAAAGCTGGTTCTCTCCCCCCTTCAAAAGGTCAGATTAATCCACTATCTAAATATTGTATATCTAATTAAAATTTGCACATAGCTGCTCAGCAACGCTATTGCATTGGGGTGGTTTCCACTATGGATTCTAGGATATACTTATGTCAGTTTTGATACCTTCCCCACATCTATCGATAGTTCCCCATTAGATAGCATTTTACTCTTGCTTTGCAACTGCATTTAGTTTTGTTGCTACATTATCCCAGCTAGTTCAGTATTATTCATAGCACCAAGGCTGGGTAACTCAGATTGTTCCTGAGCTACCGCTCCCACATTCCTCACTGTTAATCATGCTAGTTGGTGCTGCTGGAAAGTGTGATTAAGCAACATATATTATCTTAAGTTAGTCATCCTATTCTATGCTGATTGGCTCTTTGGAGTTCAGATGTGAGCTGTCTTTATTTCAGACTCAACCTAACCCTGCCATGAAACAACTTAAAGCAGGGGTCCCCAACCACCAGTGCATGGACTGGTACTGATCCATGGCATGCCAGCAACCGGGCCATGCAAACAAGCGAAGCCCATCTGCAGGATGCAGGCAGCATGCAAAACCATGCCTCCTCCAGTTCGCAAACAAACTTTCTCGATGGAACTGGTCCCTGGTGCTCAAAAGGTTGGAGGGCCGCTGACTTAAAGAATACAAAATGGAACAACAATTATTTTTGTGATGAGGATTGCATTGCCTATTATCCTAGCTGCCCTATTTACACTTCTGCAGCCCTTACAGTCTCCACGACTATGTGGAGCTCCAAAATGAGGCCCATGTTATTATCGGGGGTTGGAAAGGATAGTTTAAGAAGCCAAAGAAGTGCGTTAAATCTCTGCAGGTATTATTCTTTTAATATCCTGGTGGCGCAGTGGTTAGAATGCAGTACTGCAGGCTACTTCTGCTGACTCTTGGCTGCCGGCAGTTCGATCCTGACCAACTCAAGGTTGACTCATCCTTCCATCCTTCCAATTGGTAAAATGAGGACCCGGATTGTTGGGGGCAATATGCTGACTCTGTAAACTACTTAGAGAGGGCTATAAAGCACTGTGAAGCGATGTGGAAATGCTATTGCTGTTGCTATCCCTGATTTTTTTTTTTAAGGGTTCTGATCTAATTCACTTGGGGAAAGTGACTTGCTATGTAAACCCCAGTGTTCCCTCAAGCTTGGGGAATATCCCTGCTGCAGTATATCTTCATCTATATTCTGTCATTTATATCCTAGTGCAGAGAAGACTACTTGGGTATGTCTACTGGGGATAAGACAATTATCTTTGACAAACTTCTACTGCACTGAAAAATCTCATGATGGTCTCCCCCATTAGCAGTTACCCTATTTCACTCTAAGCCAAATGTGAGTCACTCACTGATGGGTCCATGGGTGCAAGTGATCCCTACAAAAAAGAAATTGCATAACTGGATTCCTTTTGAAAGTTAGTAATTGTGAACATTGCTGGCATAATTTGCTCCCCTTCCACTGTAGCTCCTTGGAAGAGGCAGAAAAAGTGGACGTCAACTTCCCCCTTCCTGTTCTTGGCAGAATAAGAAAGTGAGCTACATCTGTGGGAATAGGAGGTAGATGCAGTCGTCAAGCCCAACAGAATTTTATCTGTATAATGAGTCCCTCCCCTATCCCTCTTTCTGGTCTGAGATCATTTTAGGAGGCCATTGTAAAAACACTGAACTAGAGCCAAAAACTTAGTGTGTATATTAGCTTGTAGTGTGGGAGATTCATAATGATGTTTTATTTATTGAATGTTGGAAGCACTTAAATAACCAGGAACTATAAGATGATTGTGATGTCTTGATAATGAATTTTTAAACAGTGTGTACTCCAGAGTCTCCAACACTTATATAAATTACTAGCTTAAAAGGGGGGGGGGATTTGTTTTGTTGTAAGTGCTTTTTTGATATAGGTGCACATGCTTGGTGGATATGTAAAAAAGTCATGTAATTAAATACATATAATAATACAGAAGATCTAAAGATTCATATTCAATTGAAAGCAGAGACTTATCTTTGGGGATTGATGGATGAGCAGCTAAGGAAAAAATATGGAGCTTCGTTTTTATAAATGATAAATGCAGCAAGACTGTTATATGCACAAAGATGGAATGATTTGACTTTACTCACAATGGTGGAATGGATAGTAAAGGATAGTAAAGATAGTAAAGATAATGGAACTTGCTGAGTCGGCCAAATTTCTTAACTAGCGATAGAACTTTATCTAGCTTTAATGATGATTGGAAACCCCTTATTAATTTTTACCAGAAAGAAAAAAAATGAAGTCATGATATATAATATAATAGATGATATAAAAAGTATATAAAACTACTAGATAATAAAGAAAATGTAAATGATGCTGTAACAGAGTATAATATCACTTATATTTATGACTTCTGTAAAGGAAAATTGGCAGTTACTTCTTTATAATCCTTTTTTTCCCTTTTCTTGATTTCTGCACTTTTCTCTTCTTTCTCTCTTTTTTTTCTCTTCTTTCATTCTAAATGTTAGAATTCCTGGATAAGCCAGCTCACCAAAATTATTTCAGAATGTGGGTTCTCCACCCATTATTTACTCCCAACTCCCTCACAGGCGAGGGAATTTTTTAAACAAAGAGTCCTAGATATCAGGGCCAAAAGAAGCTAGGAAGCCCTTTACATTGAACAGGTAAGCATACCATATGTATTTAGCTGAATGCTGATTCTTTATACTTTAC